TGCCTTGCTAATTTTTTTGTATTTTTTATTGGAGACAGGATTTCGCTATGTTTGCCAGGCTGGTCTCAAACTCCTGACCTCAGGTGAGCCACCCACCTTGGCCTCTCAAAGTGCTGGGATTACAGGCATGAGCCACCGCGCCTGGCCAATCACATATATATTTATTCTTTGTTTTAATAGTCTTACTTCCTGAAATCTATACCCCAAATAAGAAATGACTCCTTCACACACCTTTTTATAGCACTCTTTATAAAAACCAAACACTGGAAGCACAAACGTTCAGTGTAGAACCAGCTGAGTAAATGGTGGGACATTCAAAGGGGAGCATTTTGCAATTGTAGAAAATAATGAAGAAGATTTCGTTATACTGCTTCAGGGTACTTTCAAAATTTTCTGTTAAGAAAAAAAGCATGCTGCAGAAGAATATATATAATATACTAACTTTTAAGAAGAAAGGAAGGGTAGATAGAAATATTACATATATACACAAATACATAAACCAGTCAGTAGCATTGAATATCCATAGTGCTCAAATTATGGTCCTTAAAATACCATTTTCTCTATATGCTTGTTTATATTTTCAAAAGGAAATAATGGAAGGATGAACTAGACAGGAATGAAAATGGTCACCTATAGGAGAAGGGAAGGAAAACGCAGAGCGATAGCACATGGTTCCTTCTGATTGTACCTTGTTTTTATGGTTTTGAATTTAGAACCATATATATTTTTTTTTCTTTTTTATTTTTTGAGACAGGGTCTCACTGTGACCCAGGCTGGAGTGAAACAAAAACAAGATTTAAAAAGCTAAGTAAAAACTTGATGATGGATTTGAAATGAGAAAATCAACATGAATGCATGATTAGACTTTTTTTTTTTCTGGAATAAAACTGTATTTCCCAGCTTTGTGCACTGGGAAAGGGCCTAGAAGCAGTAAGTCAATGGCAAATATATATATATACATAATATATGTATATATATATATATATGTAATTAGTGTATATATATCTCTCTCTCTTGTAGATTTTGGTCTTTAAAATGCCATTTTCCACTGAAAAGATAAAGCTTCTTAGGGAAACAGATGATTCCAAGTCTGGAACCTTGTTTCTTAGTGGAACACAAAGAAGCTATCAAAGACTGTTGGGGTTGTACCAGAAGGGTCCAAGAGCTGACCTGAAGGGGGATTTCACTGCCTCAAAATGGGTGCCTTTGAGCCTTAAAAAGAACTATAACTGCAACAGACTGAAACTCATCAAATATATTTTTAAATACATAAGTTCATAATGATGCCTCTCAAAATAAGAAAAAGCACCAAAAAGCCCAAATAACCAAAGCAGTACTAACTAAAAAGAATAAAGCTGGAGGCATCATATTATCTGGCTTTCAATTATACTACAAGGTTATAGTAACCCAAGTAGCATGGTACTGGTATAAAAATAGATGTAGAGGTCAATTGAAAAGAGTAGAGAACCCAGATGATGGGTACAGTGATGCTGGGAAAATTGGATTACCATATGCAGAAGAATGAGACTGGAACCCTGTTTCTCACCAGATACAAAAATCAACTCAAGGTTGATTCAAGGCTTAAATGTAAGACCTGAAAAATTCTAGAAGAAAACTTTGGTGAAACTGTTCTGGACATTGGTCTGGGCAAATAATTCATGACTAAGACCTTAAAAGAGCAAGCAGCAAAACCAGAAATAGACAAATGGGACTTAATTAAAATAAAAACTTCTGCACAGCAAAAGAAGTAATCAATGGAGCAAACAGCCTGCAGAATGGGAGAAAATATTTGTAAATTATTCATCCCTATAGGGGACTAATACCCAAAATTTACAAGGAAATCAACACGAACAACAACAACAAAAAAACCCATGAAAAAATGTGCAAAGGACAAGAATAGTCATTTTTCAAAAGAAGACATGCAGATGGCCAACAAACATGAAAAATGCTCAGCATTCCTAATCATTAGAGAAATGCAGATTAAAACCACAATGAAATACCATCTCACAGATCATGCATTCAGAATTTTTAGCTATTATTAAAAAGTTAAAAAATAGCAGAGGTTTGCAAAACTGTGGAGAATACACTTGGAATGTAAATTAGAACAATTGCCATGAAAAACAGTATGGAGATTTCTTAACTAAAAAAAGAACTGCCATTTAATCTAGCAACCACACTACTAGGTATCTATCGAAAGGAAGATAATCATTATGCAATAAAAGATACCTGCACTTGGATATTTATCACAGCATTATCCACAGTAGAAAAGATAGGGAGTCAACCTAAATGTCCTTCAGTGGATGATTAACGAAAATGTGGACCAGGTGCAGTGGTTCACACCTGTAATCCCAGCACTTTGGGAGGCCAAGGCAGATGGATCACAGGGTCAAGAGATCAAGGCCATCCTGGCTGACATGCTGCAACCCCGTATCTACTAAAAATACAAAAATTAGTGGGGGTGTGGTGGTGCACACCTGTAGTCCCAGCTACTTAGGAGGCTGAGGCAGGAGAATCGCTTGAACCTGGAAGGCAGAGGTTGCAGTGAGCCGAGATTGCACCACTGCACTCCAGCCTGGCAACACAGTGAGATTCCATCTCAAAAAAAAACAAAAAACAAAAAACAAACAAACAAACAAAAAATGGTATGTATGTGTGTTATACATACATGCAATGGAATACTATTCAGCTATTTAAAAAAGCATGTCTTTGGCAGCAATGTAGATGGAGCTGGAGGTCATTTTTTAAAGTGAAATAATCTGGAAACAGTCAAATATAGCATGTTCTCACTTATAAGTGGAAGCTACATAATGTTTACACATTGGCATGGACTGTGAATGAATAGACCCTGGAGACTGGTGGGGTGGGAGGGTGGAAGGGGAGTTAGAGATGGGAAATCAGTGTCTACAATATACATTATTAAGTCTGTGGTTATACTGAAAGCCCAGACCTCAGCACTATGCAATATATAACCACTATGCAATATATGCACATAACAAAACAGCACTTGTAACCCTTAAATTTATAGGCATTAAAAAAAAAATCAACCTGATCACCTTTGGAGGTTGCTAGGCCATCAATTCATCATTTTGAAAATTAGGAAGTAAGGGCAAAGGATCAAACATTTATCTTGACTTTTCTCTGCGAATTTTAAGAGTCACCAAGCGGTTGGTAAACTACTTATTTTTAGCACAAATCCTGCTAGTAAATGCAGAAGGAATATAGAACTAAAAAAGTTACTGTTTCATAAACTTTGATAAAATAAAAGAATTAAGCAAAGGTCCTTAATGGCTGCCAAAATCATTAAGTGAAAGGTTAATGAGGAACTTTATTTTGGCCGGATCAGGCTGAATGTAAATCCACTGGTTAATTTTATACCACCAAAATAGGACATTATGTAAAATTGATATTATATGCCTCCCCCACATGCAAGCACCGCCGACAAAATATGCTTGCCATAAAGATTTCATCTGAAACTCATCCACCTTCTTACCACCAGGTACGGGAAATATAGGATAAGTATGTTAAATAAGTTTATAGGTAAGATATTAGCCAAATCCCAGACATGGGAAATTCTAAAGAAAAATTACTTATTTCGTAAATAAATGTCATGGGAGGAAAAGAGTCGTGGAGGTGGTGGCAGGAGGGCAGGTAATATAGATTCAAAAAGAGTTAAGTGATAGGTAATGTGTAATGTATATTGGATTGGAGTTTAAACATTGTAAAATGATATTGGAGAATATTGAGTAAGCAGTAATACTGAAGACTTACTGTTAATTTTGTTAGGTGTAATAGTGTTATCATGGTAATGATGTTTTTTAATATCTGGGTGAAGTAATCTGACTCAGGCAGCCAAACAGAAGGCATATAGATTTAATGGTAACTTGGGAAATACAAAAGTAGAAGGTAAGCAAGAATGATACAGTTTGGATAATTTTTAAAGATAGGTGGTAGAGGTCTTTAGATTTCTTAGTCAGTTTACTTAAATTTTTGTTTTTTGTTTTTTGTTTTCATCTAAAGAGTCTCAAACTTTGAGCAAGGCAGTATTTTATTAAACTTTTTAATCTAAGTTATATAATTAAATAGTGGTATATTGTGGTAAATCCTGTTTTTCTGTAGAACTTATTTTGGTTTTTCATTTTGTTGGTGTCTAGTTTGTCTTTAATTGTGTACAATTTTTTATTTTTTATTTTTTTTTAATTCTCAGTGTTTTGCCAAGTAAATTAGAGCTGGCCTCGGGTCTTCAGTAAATTGCACATTTATGTGAACACATTCACACATTAGAATTTTGTAGATGAGCTCAAATATTAAACAGTTAGAATGAATATTTGGGCATTTAAAATATGTTACAGATTATGTTTGAAGAAGACAAGAATATCATTTATGGATGTGGCCTATGGAAATCAGTGCTCTTCTTTTTCTGTTTTGTAGTTATTCTGTTGGCCTATTGGTCCGTTAAGTTTTCTTGACACTTCTCTCTTTTTGATTTTCCTTTTATAGGCCAGTATTCACAAACTATTTTAGCAATAATAAGTAAAGGAAAAACGATGAAATTGACACTACAACATTTTAAGAAACTGGTGTGTTCTATAATCAGTAGATTTAAAACCTGGGAATCAAAAGAATGTGGTCAGGCTGGGCGTGGTGGCTCATGTCTGTAATCCCAGCACTTTGAGAGGCTGAGGCTGGCAGATCACTTGAGGTCAGGAGTTCAAGAGCAGCTTGGCCAACAGGATGAAACCCAGTGTCTGCTAAAAGTATAAAAAATTAGCCAGGTGTAATGGCACGTGCCTGTAGTCCCAGCTACTCTGGAAGCTGAAGTGGAGAATCACTTGAACCCAGGAGGCGGAGGTTGCAGTGAGCAAGATTGCAGCACTGCACTCCAGCCTGGGTGACAGAGCGAGACTCAGACTCCCAAAAACTAAAAGAATGTGGTCAAAATATCTTTAGGTTGCCATCTAATTATATATATGCTGTATAAAAGTACTATATTTATCTTTTAGGTTGGCAAATAAACAAGATAAAGAAGGAGCTTTAGGAGAAGCTGATGTTATTGAATGTCTGTCTCTGGAAAAATTGGTCAATGAGCACAAGTGCCTGTGTCAGATAGTAAGGTTTCATTTTTTTTCACTCTTTATCCTTTCAAATAAGTTCAATATAACTTGGTTTTTATAAAAGTGATAGCAATTAAAAACCAGTCTTTTCAAAGAATTTTTGTAACCTATGAAATCACACTCTCACTTTTCTGTTGATATAACTTTATGCCATAATATTTGTTGTCTATTTCCTTGTTATTTCCATGAACTATCTTTCCATGATTTCAAAAAGCTTCACATTTGCTTTTTGTTTAAGATATTGCTGATAGGATCTGTGCGCTATGCCAGCACATCATGGTATGAACTTCGTAAAATGGGGAAAAAAGTATAAATACAACATTTAAGCATATGAGCAATTCATAATTAATTTTGAAAAATTACACTGCCTGGCATGGTGGCTCATGTCTGTAATCCCAGTACTTTGGGAGGCTGAGGGTGGCAGATTGCTTGAGCCTGGGAGTTTGAGACCAGCCTGGGCAACATATTGAGACCCTAGCTCTACAAAAAATAGGAAAATTAGCTGGGTGTGGTGGTGTGTGCCTGTAGTCCCAGCTACTTGAGGGGGCTGAGGTGGGAGGATCCCTTGAGCCTGGGAGGGCGAGGCTGCAGTGAGTTCTGATCGAGCCACTGTACTCCAGCCTGGGCAACAGAGTGAGACCCTGTCTCTAAAAAACAAAAAATGGAAAGAAAAATCATATCAGGAGAGATATACAATCTTAAGGAAGATCATTAGGGGATTTACTAATTTATTTTGGTTTCAAAAAACATTAGACTGTCAGTCTTATGGATGTTTACTGCTGCAGATTTTAGAATAAGGAATTAAAACTTCCTGGCATTTTTTAATAAATAGAGGTATTTTTCTTATGGCAATTAAATTTTTTCTTCTAATATTCACTATCACTCTCTTCTTTATAACATCTCACATAGCATACAGATATTATCTGTAAAATAATGTTAATAATTATCACAAAGGTATGTTTTGGAACTTAAATAAACAGATGCTTCATATCGTTAACTTAAATGGCTTAATTTTGATTTGCCATTAATTATACTTGATGGTTTATGAATAGGTTTGTGTGCAGAACTTTAAATCTTTGAGTCAAATAAATCTCTGTTTTAGGAACCATGTTCAGCAATCTTGGGGTATGGAAAGAAAATTGACAAGTCCATTAAAAAAGGTCTTTATTGGCTGCTACATGTTATTGCAAGAGACTTCGATGCCTTAAATGAACGCATCCAAAAAGATACAACAGAACAGCGTGCTCTTGAGGAACAAGAGAAACGGGAAAGAGCTGAACGAGTACGAAAATTACGAGAAGAAAGGTAAGTAGATTAATTTTGCACTTGAGGGGTTAAAAACACAACAATTTTATGAATTACTACTTTTATCTGTTCAGTTCTTTCTATATGAAGGAAGACACCAGGAAAATTTTGTATTTCTATGAATATTCCTCTACACAAGTTTGAGTGGGAGATTCCTAATTTTTCTGGTGGTGGTATAGTAGTTAAATTTACTCCTTATGTAGACCACTGTTGCCCAGAGTTTTAAATTTTTATCTCTGGTTTCTTACGGGTACTTTAGTGCAGTGTTTCTCAATGCACAGGGTAGTTTCACCTCTGAGAGAACATTTGGCAGTGTCTGGAGACATTTTTAGTTTTCACAGCTAGGGGTAGAGGGTGGAGTACTACTTGGCATCTGTTGGATAGAGGCCAGGGATGCAGCTAAACATTCTGTGACACACAGGACAGGCTCCTACGACGAAGAATTATCAGGCCTAATATGTCAATAGTGTTGAGAATGAGGAACCTTTTTAGTTTGAGCCAAGATAGAAGGTGAGCTGTTAGAGAATCGTTCAACTCAAGCAAAATCTGATGAAGTTGCCTTCCATCTGGCCTTCTGTGTAGTTTAACATAGTTGTAGCCCAGTGGGCAAGAACCTGCTACACTTGGTGATCCCGTTTTGAGGTGCTTCCCTGTACTGTGAAGGAAATCCTCTGATAACTGCTGTTTTTCATTTAATTCATCGATAGGACTTAAAGGAAAGAAATATTTATAGAAATGGCTCTCTATCCCCAAGTGCTCAATAATATGAGCATGTCTTTCATGTAGGGATCTCTTGATATAAAAGACAGATGAGAGTGAATGATTTTGGCAGCTATTGATACAAGGTTTTAGTTCCTGTGACAATCTTTGGTTTTTCTTAGTGTGTGTTTTTATCACATAAAGCTCAGTACAACCAATCATGCATGTAAGTATACCTTTTATATGTAATATTCATAAAAAAATATATGGTCACACTTATCTGAAAATTTCTTTTGTTTTCCTCCACCAAGATAAAGCAACAACAACAAAAAATTGAGTTGGGTAAAAGAAATTTAATGTTAATAACCTGTTAAATGTTTTTTCCTTTTCCACGGTGATATTCTAGATCATGTTAGGGCAGACTTTGCCTATCCTCTTTGCCCTTTCTTCCTTTCTCATTATCCCTGCCAGTTGTGGTCTGAGGCCTCTCCTTTTGAGCCGAGACTCCATAATTAAAAGTAAATTGACATTCAGAGATGGATGATTAAAAATAAACCTTTTTACTCCACTAGATCCAATCTTATTGGTTTAGATAGTCATTTCTAGTGTTTTGAAAAACAGTAAAACACCAAGTGAAAGTAATATATTAATACTGTATTCCTGAAGTTGCTTACTAATAAATGAGTTGCATTAATAACAATGACTATCCTATGAGAAACTTCATTCACACAGTGTTCTCACATATATTACTTTATCTGACTCGTGAAGCAGCTCTATGAAGTGGTTTATTTTTATTTACATTTGTGGGAAAGCTAAGGCTCAAAGATCCAGGTCCAAAGTCACAGAGGTAGTGAATTGCAAATCTCCAAATCTTGGCTCCTAGGTTCATAATGAAAGGGTATGTATTTCCATCTAGAACACAGCTAATAAATATTATGGTAATGAACATTTACATTGCTATATAATACAGTCCAGTTAAAGATCCACAATAATTTTTTTTTTTTAATCTTTGGCTGCTCATCTTAATAACACTCATCATGTATGGAACAACATTAACTATAAATCAGAGATAGTAAATGTCCAGTGGTAACTAATATAGAAATACTTATTTAATCTGAATGATATATATGGTAACTTATTTTTGTAACCACCCACACTATTATGCAAGTTATTATCTAGTTGTTCAAACATGACATACAACTTGATAAAATACATTATATTACTAGTCTGTCATATACTTCTATAGAATCAATCTATAGATATCCTAGTCTTTTATGCTTATATACTAAACAAGAAACATGTTTGTGCAGAAATAAAAACATGAGTTGAAAGAATGCTTTGTTAGTTTTACTTTATAAGAGAAGACATAGCCCTTAAGAAAATAGTTAGTAAGAATAATTGGCCAGGCGCGGTGGCCCATGCCTGTAATCCCAGCACTTTGAAAGGCCGAGGCGGGCGGATCACAAGGTCAAGAGATAGAGACCATCCTGGCCATCATAGTGAAACGCCATCTCTTAAAAAAAAAGAAAAAAGAAAACAAAAAAAGAATAATTGTTATTTGTTAACACCAGTGAAGAGGACAGCATTGATTTTGAAGGGTAATTGATAAGTAGATCAGTAATGCCCTTGGCGCATGGAAGAAGAATTGCACCATTGATATTAAGAAGTCAGTCATAGGAAATGTCATTTTTATCAGCATTTTTTAAAAAATTGAAATGATTAGTCTTCACATGGGGGGAGAAGCCTTTTACCTGCATAAAAATTTTAAAAATGCTCTCAGTAATTCAAAACCATGCCTACATATTTAAATTACTACATGTAATAGCGTTACACCTATTGCAGTTTTCTTAAACATGATTCAGCACTTTCTCAAAAGAAATTTTAATTGTTTTTCCCGAAACAATAGAAAACAAAATGAACAAGAGCAGGCTGAGCTCGATGGAACCAGTGGTCTGGCTGAGTTGGACGCAGAACCAACGAATCCTTTCCAGCCAATAGCATCTGTAATCATTGAGGTATGAATGGTGGCAAATGTAATTTTTGTATCTTAAGTTATAAGTTCAAACTTGGAAAAGAAGGTGGAAAGTTAGTAAAGGAGGCAGGAAAACAAGTGTTTCTTCAGAGAGATTATTTCTACAAGAAGTTAAAGACGAGAGACTGATGGAAGGTTTATTGCTTTTTTCCCCCTTACTCTTAAATTACCTTTGAATCTAGTGTAAAAGGGGGAATATGAATTCAGAATTCAATGACAATAAATAACGTTGACTGCAGCAATTATTATAGTTGCTGTGTTGATAAATCTATTTTGTCATTTATTTCATGTAGTAATAATATATTTACTCTTCTTTATATTTTCTGTGTTTCCGTATTGCTGTTACTGTCCGTTTGCAATAATATTTACTTAGAAGGCATTAGAGTACATAAACAATTTTCTGTTTTTCTAGGATACTTAATAATGTTTGAAAGAGCAATAAATTCTCTTATATCTGAATACCATTTATTTCAATTTTAAATCAGAAATTTTACCAACATGAATTTATAGATTTTAATTATGAAGAAGTGAAGGGGTTGTGTGTGTGCGCATCTGCGCATCTGTGTCTCTGCTTCCGTTTTCTGCTAGTGTCCAGAGTGCGCATTGGCTCTGCTTTCATGGCTGGCAGCAGCAATGCCTCCTCTGAGGCAGAGCTTCCTAACCCATAGGCTGACTTGCTGGTCCTGCCTGTGTGTTCCCCATTCCTCTTCCCTGTCACTGCCTCCTTCCACACAGGTGTTCATCTGGAAAGGTGGACGATTGTTTAAACTTCCTCGGGGCTGCTGCTGAGGAGGGAGGCAGCTCCGCAGGTAAGAAGATGATTGGTTGGTTGTGGTGTGGCTTTGTTTTGCAAAGTAATTGGTAATATGAGACGTTGGTTTTTAAGGTGCTTGGATACCAGAAGGTTAATTGTATTCAATCTTTCATTAACTTCATTGCAATCACCCTAAATATGTGCTTTTCTAATTATAGTAAAGCCATCTTAATAGCATGAGCTGTTTGTCTCAATTCTATCAGATATTTGTCAAGTTTTGTTTCATGTTTTTCTTAAAAATACTGATAGAGAAGAGGTTAAGTTGTACTTTTTACTTTGAAACATTAGTGATTCCCTGGGTATAATAAGGCTTGCTTTATAAATAATGGTTATTTTATAGTATCATGGGTATAAATTATGTACAAGGGTCTAGTGCTTCTCTCAGCATTGTATTTTCCACAATGTATAGAAATGAATAATACTGATGTAAAACATAGTATATAATATATAGAAAGTTGCTAAATTAATAAGTGCCATGGGGAAAGTACACTTATGCTTTTAAACTATAATAATTTCAAGAATATGGTCAGTAAAGAAATAAAAAACAAATTAGCTCTATTTTTTTAACCATATAGATTCCCCCCTCCACAAAACTTTTTTAGCATGTTGCTTAGTACAGAAGCACCTAACATTCCTTTGATTTTTACTACAGATAATTAAAATGGTAAACTATTGGAAGGTATTGGTTCCAGAATAGACAGGCAGATCAATAGAACAAATACTAACAAACATAGTTATATATGAGCATTTTAGTACAAGATAAAGATAACATTTCAAATCTGACAGAAAAGAATAACTATTTAGAGAAAAGTAAAATTATTGAATACTGTATACCTAGTTAAATTCCGAAAGCATCTAAAACTTAAATACGTTTAAGTGAAAGTCTTCAAGTTACCAGTTGATAATGTAGTTAAATCTTTATATGTGCTTGGAGGAGGAAAAAAAATTCAAAGCAGGACAATCAAGCCACAAATCATAAAGGAGAAAATGAATAGATCTTATACTACCCAATTCTAAAGGAATTATTCTACAAAGTTAAAAAGAAATATAACAAACTCTAGTGAAAAATGGGATGCATAGGCTTATGTGGCTCTGTGCCTGGTCCTCGTGACTCAGATGCACGAAAGAACCCTTACAAATTATGATGAAAATAATGAGAATCTAAGAGATAAGTGGGTATTGGGTTGCCAAAGGCAGCTTCCTAAAGAAAAATTAAAAGTGTCACCAAGTGTATTTAATAGTTTATTTTTGCCAGCAATAAAAATATTTTAACTTACACTCAAAACAACACTAAGATAAAAATATGTATTAATATGGCAGCGACGTAAAAAGTCAATCATGATATGCAGTATTGAATACATGTAGAAAAAAATCACTCTACCAGCCCTTTGCCTGTGGTGTACATTGATTCAGTTTTTCTGAAGAGAAGTTTGTGAGTATATGTGCCATTTTAAAATGGCACATATAGTTTGTGACTATATTGCCTACCCGCTGACTTCAACAATTCTACTGTTAGCAATTTAATGTTGATAAAAAAAAAAAAGAAAAAACACAAAAAACTATTAGGATGATTCTATTTTTTAAAATAGTGAAAAATTGGAAATAAATTCTTTGTTGATTGACAGATTTGGTATGCTATAGACATTCAAAATAATAATATAATTGATGAAAATAATTGTAGCTAACATCATTTAATATTTATAAGGCACTGTTCTGAGCACTTCATATATTCATTGGCATGGAAAGAAATATATGTTCTTCAATAAAAACTTGAAATCTTTTTTGTTTAAACAACAAATACATATGTATATATGGATACGTACATTTCTGCATATTTCTGGGTGATGTATGTCTTTACGTGATGTATGTATGTACGTGTGGGGGTTTGCAGAGAAAATTATCTCTTAGTGATTATAGAACAAATAGATTATATACCAAATAACATAGATGAAAGGTAGTCATCTCCAGATTGTAGAATTACTGGTAATACTTGTTTTCTTTCATTATACTTTCTGTGTTTACCGAGTGTTTGACATTTAGCATATTTTAATGATGTATTCATCAAATTATTTTTAAACTAGAAATCTCACAGTGTCCTTGAAGTTACAGAAAGCTGTTAAGGTATATGATTCCTCTTTTAAAACTATCTTAGATAAAACCATTATAGTGAAGATAATGTGTTTTATTTTTTGTTAGAATGAAAGAAAACTTGAAAAAGAGAAAAAAAGGCAAAAAATGGAGAGAGACAGTGATGGGTGCCATCTGAAACAGAAAATGGAGCCTGAGCAAATGGAGACACAAGGCCAGGTTAATGACAGTGGCCAAAAAAATAATGAATTTGGACTGGTAGAAAATTATAAGGAATCATTAACACAGCAGTTAGAGAATGAAGATGAGACAGATCAGCCATCATTAGAATCAGGTAATAAATGTAGTTAAGGTAATGATCTTATGTATGTGTAAATAAAACTTATACTTCATCTCATTTATTATGTTTATTTTTATAAAAGAGTACTATAGTATTTTTCTGCCTTCAAATGCCATATTTTTCATGATTTTCTCAAGGTCCTTGATTATTCAGCCATTTTGTTCCTAACATGATGACTTAAAATGTGGTCCTTTGTAACTTATAATGATTTCAGCAGAAAATTTCATTTTTAATTTTATTTTCATAAATTTGGGATACAGCATAGCCTTCAAGAGTCCTTGGAATAAATTTAACATTTTAAGGCTTTTTTTGTTTGTTTTGTAAGGCTCATAATGCTACATCAGCATTATTTCCTTTATTGACTGGCTATTGCTATCGGTAGCAAACATAATCGGTAGAACATTTTAAAATGTCTTGTGAAATAGCCATTTTTCTCTTATGTTAATATCATAAAAAATCTTCAACTCATAATTGGTTTTCTTTTTCTAACTGGCTGTGTTATATAAAAGTACGTTCCTGTCTTTTGGTGTCATAGGGATATAGCCTGCATTTGGAATCAGACAGCTTGGGATAGAATCCTGACCCATTATCTACTAGATATATGTTAAGTTATATAACATTCTTTAGTCTTACTTTCTTTATCTATAAAATGCAAATAAATATTGTCTGGGGCTTTTCGGGTTACTTAGAAAATAGCTCTACTCCTAGCAGCGTCTGCCACATGAGAGATGTCCCGTAACTGTTGCTTCCTTGACATTTTTGGTTATTAATATGGCTTCATTATGTATAATAATTTTTTATAGTATCACAGGGCTTATGAAAATAAGATTTCAATTCCTGAGATATAGATTAGCTAACATGGATATTTTGCTGGATGACAAATACTCGATTTGAAAGGCACAGTGAGATCTAAGGTAGTAAATCATATAACTATAATAGTAACATTTTATACTTTAAAACAGCATTTGGATGTGCTGTATTATTCAACATAACATTAAGTTATTTAACATAGCAATCCTAGGGTATACTAATTCATTATATAAATAAAGAGAACAGGGACTTGAAGAGGTTGGATTGCTTTAGGTCATATGTCTTGTCTGTGTAAGCGGAGACCCCAGTCCAGATCACGGATCCACATCCTGTGCTTCTCCATGACCTTGAACTACTGCCCACCCTTAAGCACCTTACGGTGGTTGTATTCCACATCTTATGGATCTGTTCTTCCAGTTGTTAAGCTTACCATTCTAATTGTAAAAAAGATCTATTTTTTTTATGTGAAATGTTTCAAACAACACTAGTTTATTTAGAATAATTATTTGTTTCTAAGTGTGTTTGTATTTTTTATTGCTTTGTAGGCCTCACAGATATTGGATATATTTTACATTACAAATAATTCCAATTTAGAAAGTACACTGCATGTGCATGCATGCACACACACACACAGACACACACACACACAGAGACATGGCTGTTTGTAACTATCAGTTAAAATATTGCAATTACATTGGCTGGGCAGGGTGGCTCACACCTATAATCCCAGCACTTGAAGCTGAGGAGGGCAGATCACTTGGTCAGGAGTTCGAAACCAGACTGGGCAGCATGGTGAAAGCCTGTCTTTACAAAAAAAATACAAAAATCAGCAGGGTACAGTGGCACACGCCTGCAATCCCAGCTATTCTGGAGCCTGAGACACAAGAATCACTTGAACCTGGGAGTTGGAGGTTGCAGTGAGCCAACAGCCTAGGCATGGAGCAAGGAAAAGAAAGTTGCAATAACATCAGTGTTCTAAATTTAGTTAACTACTATGTCATCCTAGTTCACCTTATTAAAATTTATACATTAATAGATATTCTTGATGTGTTTATGTGTTTAAGTTAAAATATGTGAATAATTTTTAAAGAAAGAATACATTCAATTCTGCTATTTCTACTAATGTGATTTTGGTTACATGTTTGTATTATATTGGGCCTACCTTCTTTTAGGGGTTATTTTATCGATTTTTTTTTTTTTTTTTTTGAGATAAGGACTCACTCTGTCACCCAAGCTGTATGGCAATGGCACAGTCATGCTACTGCAGCCTCGAACTTCAGGGCTCAAGCAATCCTTCTGCCTTAGCCTCATGAATAGTTGGGGCTACAGGTGCATGAAAACAAAGCCATGCTATATATGTATTTTTTTCTTTCTTTCTTTCTTTTTTTTTTTTTGAGACGGAGTTTCACTCTCGTTACCCAGGCTGGAGTGCAATGGCACCATCTCGGCTCACCGCAACCTCCGCCTCCTGGGTTCAGGCAATTCTCCTGCCTCAGCCTCCGGAGTAGCTGGGATTACAGGCACGTGCCACCATGCCCAGCTAATTTTTTGCACCTTTAGTAGAGACAGGGTTTCACCATGTTGACCAGGATGGTCTCGATCTCTTGACCTCAGTGATCCACCTGCCTCGGCCTCCCAAAGTGCTGGGATTACAGGCTTGAGCCACCGCGCCCGGCCTATGTATTTTTTTCATAGAGATGAGGTCTTGCTGTGTTGCCCAGACGGTTCTCTGACTCTTGGGCTCACGCATTCCTCCTACTTCATCCTCTCAAAGTGCTGGGATTACAGGTATAAGTTGCCATGCTTAGCCTTGTAGAGGTTATTTTAAATAAATAATATGTTTAGATTTGTTTAGGGCCCTTTATGTCACATTTCAAAGGATTATTTTTTGACTATTTATACCTAGAATCATTCTACATATCCCACTGAGAAAAATCAAATATACTGAGTGACACAGTAATGAATAGCTTCTTTCCCCAGATTATTATGAATTTCATGGAAACTCTTGCAATTACAGAATTACATTTGTTTCATACGACATTTTTTTGTAGTCTGAAAAACCTCTCAGAAATTAAAATACAGACATTTGGCTCTTTATTGTATCATATTCATTTGTCATTCATTCAATAAGCTATCACTTAAAAATATATATTCTTAGTAAATGCAACTGCACATTTAGTTGTTGGTAACAATTTCCAAAGTTGCATTGTCAAGAGGTTTTTATGTTATTATCAATATTCTTGTTTTATACTTTGTTTTCTATTATAAAAATTCACTTTTTCCTAAAGATATAAAATTTCATGTTTATATTCTTGTAGCTAATGGTAAAAAGAAAACTAAGAAACTAAGAATGAAAAGGAACCACCGGGTAGAACCACTTAATATAGATGACGGTGCTCCTGAGAGTCCAACACCACCCCCACCTCCTCCTCCTGGTGAGTAAATTGATACTGATACTGAATTTAGAAATATTCTTTTAAACAACAGAGAAGAAAAGAAAGAAGGAATCTTGCTATTTTTATTCTGTATATTCATTATCTTGTATATTTGTAAAAAAGAATCTTTTAACTCTAATTTGAACAAAAATGTGCTAACAAAAATGTCCATTCTCTTTTTAAATAAAAAAAGTTTATAAAGGAAAAAATAAGTAAAACTATTATGAGAACTTTATCCAATATTTCCTAGAATATGTTCAAGTTCTATTTGAAATATTAGTACCTAGATGTTCATTAAAGTTTTATGATGGATATTTAATATGAGCTTTTAAAACATTGGACCAGCTGGACGTGGTGGCTCACTGCTGTAATCAATCCCAGCACTTTGGGAGGCTGAGGTGGGCAGATCACAAGGTCAGGAGTTTCAGACCAGCCTGGCCAACATGGTGAAACTCTGTCTCTACTAAAGGTACAAAAGGCTGGGAATGGTGGCTCACGCCTGTAATTCCAGCACTTTGGGAGGCTAAGGTGGACATATTACGAGGTCAGGAGTTCAAGACCAGACTGCCCAACATAGTGAAACCCCATCTCTTCTAAAAATGCAAAAATTAGCTGGGCATGGTGGCATGCACCTGTAATCGCAGCTACTCAGGTGGCTGAGGCAGGAGAATGGCTTGAACCCGGGACGCAGAAGTTGCAATGAGCCAATATCATGCCACTGCACGCCAGCCTGGGCAACAGGGGGAGACTCCATCTCAAAAAAAAAAAAATTGGACCTTTCATTCTGAAACTTAACATTTGAAACCAAGATGTATTAATTTTTCTAATATATTTTCAACATACGTACCCCTGTCTTAAGTTGTTATGAGGATTAAATGGAATAATGCATGTAAGACACTAGCACTTAACTTCTACAATAATTGAGAGTAACTTTTCAGCACTAAGCTTAGTACCTCACCTACTATAGCTCCTCAATAAATATGTAATGACTAGATAATTATGTGTTATAGTGCCCTTACATCCCTGCTACAAGGCTGTAGAAAGTATTTGGTAACAGTTTCTTTACAGACTCATTTCCAGTATTCCATTTATTAAGAAAAAAAATATTTAGTCTCTGCTTAGAGTTAGAATGTTAGCATGAGTTTGCTTTTGATAGCAGTGAAGGTGCTTATATTTTTTATTAAAAATTATTGAAAACTCAAAGCAGATGTTAGCAGCCTGTAATCACACTTTAAAATATAGAAGCCATTTAAAATGGGTTTATGGCTATTCCTTACTGTCATTCAATATATTTGAATTGACATTGAGTGTTACATATGCTTCCTTTCCAGGGAGGGATCCTCTCAACAGACCTAAAGAGACCTTGTTTAACAGTATTTTTAAATGTTTTTCTTTTTCTTTAGTTGGCTGGGGAACCCCTAAAGTCACTAGACTTCCAAAACTTGAGGCTCTTGGTGAAACACGTCATAATGGTAATGCAAAAGGATTGGTTTTCAGATGTCTTCTGTACATGTTACATTCACTTTTCTTTAACCTTATAACTTCAACAAACTTATGTTTTAGTTTTGGAAGCCCATCAAATCCACAGCCATCCTTTTTCATTATACTTCTCTTTTTCTCATATTATTTAATTTTTTTTATTAAGTATGCTTTACATCTATATAATTTGATTTGTTGTTTACCTTAGAATACAGAGGTAAAAAGAATCATTGCTTTTGTTTATACATGATACATTTATACAAGGAGTTAGAGAAGGTTTTAAAACAATTTAACTATGAGACATTACAATGATAACTTAATGATACATTTATACAAGGAGTTAGAGAAGGTTTTAAAACAATTTAACTATGAGACATTACAATGATAACTTAAGTGTTAAAAGCTATAGTTTCCTGTATATGCCCAATATACTCAATGCCACACAATTTTTTCTATTTCTAATAAGACAACCAGCTACTTTATATGAAAGTGAAGTAAAGATAACACATTTTATAAAATCAGAGATCAAATCAGTAAACCAAATAAAGTTTCACAGAGTAGAAAGAAAGTTACTGACAGCTTCATTGAATTAAGAACAATTTTCTTTGAATATAACTAACATATGCTATAGTCTAGCTAGTTTATAGCATTGGAATTCTAGGATGGAAAAATTAGAGGAAGGATATTTAGGAGAAGTAGAGAACTGCTTTATAAAACAGGGAGAAGTTCTGATTACCGATCATCAGTCTAGGTCCCTTCAGTGAAATCTTTCTAGAATGCAAGAATTGTAGATAACTGTGGCTCAATAAACTTGTTCGTTAAGAACACCCAGTTCCTTTTATGATAGTTCTGTGTTTACTTAGTCTATAATTTGGTTTCACTTACTAGGAAAAATGTCAGAAGTTTAATCTTTAGAAAAGCATTACCATATAATTTGAAATCATATCAAACCAGTTTAAATATTTTTATTCAGAAAGTATATAAATATAAATGTGCTATTTGCTTTTTTTCTCAGAATTCTATATAGGTCAGTAATGAAATAGTTCTTGATAATTGTTAGTGGAGATTAATGGATTTTTTTTTTTACATTTTTAAAGAAATAGAAATTTGTCCTTAGACTATATCAGAATTACTGAAATGGTATTTTCAGTGGAGTCTCATATCTCTGTTTAGTTTTCTCACTTTACATCATGATATTTATATCGATTACAGTAGATTTTTTTTATTTTCAACTCAGCAAACTTGCATACATTAGAGTACATTGTCAATGTAAATATTCACTGTTGTCAGAGAAAACTAGGTAATGTTAGTGCATATATTTATATGTACACACCTATACATATGAAGAAAAAAAATTTTCACATGACATTTCTTGTTATCAAACTCATTTAACAAATAACTATTTTGTTAAAAGATTAGTAATAAGATGAATAAGATGTGCATTCTGCCTTTGTGAGGATCCTACTGTATAGAGAGGGCAATTCTTCAGCTTACTGTGGTATACATGACAGTGAGTTCTATGGTGTGCAGAGTACTATGCACAATAGGAGTACTGTGCATGTGCATTTAGGGAAAGTGGCATTAGAATGAGTCTTCAAAGAATGAGAAGAGTCAGCAAGCCAAAGAAACAGACTATTTCAAGGTAGAGAGGTAGGAAAGAATATTGTTTAGTTGGAGAATAACCTGAAGTTGCCAGTAACAGGAAGATTAGGTTTATGTGCATTGAGTGGGTAAGAAAGAGAAAATATAAAATTATGAAGAGTGTTAAAAGTGGAGTTAAGAAAATGTACAGTCAACTCTGCTTTTAATTGGGAAAGAAAGATATAATAAATATAAATTTTTAGTACAAAAAGCTTACATTTAGTAGTTTTTAGAGTTCATCATGAAATGTTTATCTTAGATCCTGATGATAGGTATCAATTACATAATTGAATCCTCTTCTTTTTCTAAGTTTGTACATATTTATTTGCCTTTATATTCAAAGTAAATTGATAAAAGATTTATGACAAGTAGACAACAATATACGATGAACTAGAGTAGATAATTAAGAATTGGCTAAATTTGGTTTGGCTTAAAATTTACTGAGTTGAAAACTAATATGCTCTAGTCATATTGGGAATTTTTAAGGCAGAGACTTGTACTTTTTTTTCCCTTTAAGTATTTTATAAAAAATAATTTTAACTTATATTTAAATGCATGGGGTACATGTGCAGGTTTATTACATGGGTATATTGCATGTTGCTGAGGTTTGGAGTCTGAATGATTCCATCACCCAGGTAATGAGCATAGTACCTGACAGTTTTTTCAGTGCCCATCCCTCCCGCGCTTTATTAGCTCCCATTGTCTATTGTTGCCATCTTTATGTCCCCTACTTGTATTTTGAGTATAGAGATTTACATTAATGGCAAGTTTATTCTACTTTTCTAATTGCTTTTACTGCCTACAAAGCTTGCTCACTGTAACAGGTCAGGCAGTTGCATTTAGAGAAGAGACATAAAAAGAGAATTTGAATTCACTTTTTAAGCACTGTCAGTCTATGCTTTATCAATATGTTATATATTATGTATTACACACTATGAAAAACAAATCAAAAGATCATATTGGTAAGAGTGCCAAATGCACATACTCAAGAGTATTTTCAAATTTTAAAATTATGAAGGAAGATGTGGTTTACTGCTCCTCAATTTTCATGGTAAAGAAGTTGAAGCCGTTTATAAAAATGTGTTGGCAATTAAGTTTGTCATTTTAGTTGGGCACATACTTTACAAATAAGAAATCTTCTGTGTATAGAATGATTTGATTTTCTGGCAAAGAAATAGTAGAAAATCATCTGGATGGGGTGGCTCATGCCTGTAATCCCAGCACTTTGGGAGGCTGAGGGAGAAGGGCTTCTTGAGGCCAGGAGTTTCAGACCAGTCTGGGCAAAATAGTGACCTAGAGAGATCCCCATCTTGTGAAAAAGAAAGAGAAAAAGAGAGAGAGGGGAGAGAGAAAGAAAAAAAAGAAAAATAAAGAAGGAAATAGCAAGTCAAAATCAAGTGAATAATTTCTTAGAAGGGAAAAAGACATTACATGTTTATCTTTTTTATTTTAAAATTCTAAAAGTAAAACCTATTCAAAAACATTCACTCTAGTTTAATAGTGAATACTGTTTCTATGACAATTCTATTAATTTTTTGAATTCAAGAAATTAGAGAAAGCATACTTTACAAAATAATTGAATGTCTCCTACCACTTTAATTATAGCAATAATAATTACATATACCATGTGTCTATCACATTGCTAAGCACTTTAGGTATTTATACCATTTTAATTCCCCAAATATCTTTATGAGAAGGGCAACAATATCCCCATTTTGTGTGTGAGGAGCCTATACCCCAATGTTGCATATACCTAATAAGTGACAGAATCAGAATGTAAACTTAGGCCTGTCTCGCTTTGAAATCCATACCTTGAATTCATTATTGTATGCTGTTAAGATTTGTCTGGACATCCTTGCAGCTTAGTAATTGCTTTGAATTGACAGTTGTTTTAAAAGTCATTTCCCCCTATTAATATATTCATTTTAAGTGTTTCTGTAACACCTATGTATCTAGAATAATTTTAAGGTAATAGAAAGTACTTACTAAAGGTTTACATATACCATGAAGTTTATAAGCCAATTTTCAATAATTATGAAATGGAGATTTACCATAATGGACAAAATAAGACTTCTTTGTATAAAATTGCCTGAAATCATTGAACTCTATTGAAGCATTATTGTAAAAGATTCCAACGTACAAGAACACTGGCATAATTAATACTTCTACTAAAATACCTAGATGCCCCTTGATGGCTCACACCTGTAATCCCAGCACTCTGGGAGGCTGAGGTGGGTAGATCACTTGAGGCCAGGAGTTTGAGACCAGCCCAGCCCATATGGTGAAACTCCGTCTCTACTAAAAATACAAAATTAGTGGGGTGTGGTGGCGCACACCTGTTATCCCAACTACTTGGGAGGCTGAGGCAGGAGAATTGCTTGAACCCAAGAGGCGGAGATTACAGTGAGCTGAGATCACACCTCTGCACTACAGCCTGGGCAACAAAGTGAAACTCCATCTCAGAAAAAACAAACCAACAGACATACACTTAACCCTAAAAGTAGCAGCCACTGCTTTAGAATATGGAGTAGAATTACCAGGTTTATAGATTTTTGAATTAAAAGTTCTATAGATTTTGAATATTTTATATTTGTTCTCTTCTAGCGTGAATGTATAATAGGATACAAAAGTAATAATAAATATATCCATTAGGTGCAGCTTTTTATTAAGTAGAAATTAATTTTGAATCTACAATTAGGAATTTTTTCTAGTGATTATATTTTGAATGTTTTAAGTTTTCTTGGATTCTGATTTTTTTTTCTGTCTTCTGCATGCATAGTCTCACCTGCTAAGTTTAGAATGTCTTATTTTTTAAGAGATTTTGATTGAAAAATAATGAACTGTGTCAAAAATCTTAATTTACCATAATTGTTTCGTGCATTTGGTTTTCTTCCTTTACTTAGATTTCTATGGGAAGCCGCTGCCTCCCCTGGCTGGGCCACAGAGACCTAACAGTGATGCTCATGATGTGATCTCATAAACAAGTCATATTGGCAAGGTGAACTGGGACATTCTTCTTTCTCAGAAGAAGAAACATCTTGAATCCTGATAACTGGGACAAGATAACCATAGTGATTTTAGTGAGAAGTTTATTACTCAAGGACCTGACCTGATAATTACTTACTTGTGTTTTTTATGGTTAAAAAAGAAAGGAAGCAAAATGACCAGCACATAAAATCAGCATTTGGACCAAATTAGTAAGATTTAGTATTGACTCTGGTTTACACATTCCCACTCATGAGCATACTTCTGAAGGAAAACATTAGAAAAGAGCCAGTGGACTCTGCACTTTCTTTATTATTTAATAGTCTGTATTTCTAGATATTAAGTGTTTTTTTAAAAGATACATGCACATAGAAGGGGAACTTCTAGGAATTTATACCCCAAATTTTAAAACTATTTTTATATTTTTTAAACTTTAAAAATTTTAATTAGTATGATGTTGATTATATACCTTTTTAATAGATGATTTGTTTAAATTGTGTCTGAAAAACAGTGTTGATTTACTTTCAGACATGAACTATACAAACAAGATATATTTATTATGTGGCTAGAGGTATGTTTTGTAATCCTTTAAGTGTACATCCTAATTTGACCTAATTTAAAAATAATATATTTTTGAAATAGCAGATTCTCAGATCTTTATTCTACCAATTATATGATTTGAAAACAGTACTCAGTGACAGAGACTGGAAATACCTTTTGTACCTAAATGTTTTTGAAATTAATCAAAATACATTCTGTGACATATTATTAAAATATCTCGGGACCAGGCGTGGTGGCTTATGCCTGTAATCCCAGGAATTAGGGAGTCTGAGGCGGGCGGATCACCTGAGGTTGGGAGTTTGAGACCAGCCTGACCAACACGGTGAAACTCTGTCTCTAGTAAAAATACAAAAATTAGCCGGGCGTGGTGGTGCATGCCTGTAATTCCAGCTACTTGGGAGGCTGAGGCAGGAGAATCACTTGAACCTGGGAGGCAGAGGTGCAGTGAACTGATATCGTGCCATTGCACTCCAGCCTGGGCAACAGCAGCGAATCTCTGCCTCAAAAAAAAAAAAAAAAAAAAAAAAAAAAAAGTCAATAAAGTCCTATTTTAAAGGTTAAACACTTTCAGAGAGCAAGGTGTTCCCTATTTACCTCCTTGTTCTGTCAGAAGCTGCAGTGACTCTTTTGGGTGATTCTAACTCTTTCATGCCTTGAAATTAAACTATGAAATTAAAAGCAGAAAGACTGGAAAACCTACAGCAGGCCCAGAGACTTGTGTTTTACAGCTAGGAAATAGCTTGGGTACTAAAGCAATGAGAATAAAAATGTTGGCTCATATTACTTAAGAAATAATTCCAAGTAATTTCTTAATTTAAGATGATAGTACTGCTCTTGCACTTACGAATGGCATCCCTAAGATTATGTATTTGGCATTTAAACAGACTTCTAGATATATATTTTGAATAACAGATTCATAATGTTGTATTTAATTGAAAGCAAAACTTTATATCCCGGTGAGAATACTATAAACAGAATGATTTCTGTATCACCTTGTTAAGATTGGTGCTTTTGGTAACTTGTACTGACACAATAGACATATATTAGTATCTGATAACAACATTAAGTACATTTTATGCTATTTAATATAATTATTTACTTTAAAAATTTTACTTCAGAGCATCAGATTTTATTCACATTTTTTAACTCACTGAACTTCAGTAATCAGGTCACCTATACTATAGTCACCATTGTATATATCCTTGGAACTTGTACATGGGACTTACCAACCACACTGAATTAAAAGAATTTGACTTCATAATTCATAAATTTGTAAATCTGAGAGGTGGCTGACGTGATGAAAAGCAACACAAAGACAGAATGTAAATTTTGAAAAGGATTTTAGAGAGAAAATTGCACAACTTTTTGTAACATTTACTAAATTTTAAGCTCATACTTTTGCCATCTTTTTAATATTTATCTACTTTGGGAGTATATGTTTTTAAATTTTTGTTTTCTGTCTGTTTACTATAATGTAGTTACTGACTTCATTGAATAAAAATAAATTATTTTGAAATTAAATATATTATAAAATTCACATTTTATATACCTCTCAAAAAAATTTTTTTTTCTTAAGCTTTTTAAAAACATTTAAAAATGTTTTGTAAATCCAGGTGTATTTTTAACAATTAAATGCCTATTTTATTATATGTCACACTTTTATTCTGAATTTTGACATTTTCACATAATAAAAATAATTTATATCAATATTGTTTCTCTTTTCATTTGGTAGATTTAAATGATTTCCTTTGGGTAATAAAATAGGTAAAGATTTTAAAATATGATTATTAAAAAAGTTTAAATCAGTAGATTAAAATAATGCATTTTTTTGTTACTTTACACACAAAACTTTCTTCTCTCTGCAAGTTTTATGTATATGGGAAAGAATGTTGTGATTTTAAATGCAGCTAAAAATAGTATTTCACCATATGGTGTTAGAGGATTTGATGTCTGTCTTGTGTTAAAGCTATTGGTCAACAGATATGTTTTTATTTATTTAAAAGATCATCTTATGTGCCTTTATGTGTAAAATGCCTATTTTATAGTATTCATATGATATTGTATGTAACTGATGTCAAATATAAAACTATAAATTGAAACAACACTAGAAAGAAATGTAGTTTGGTTTACTTTTGTAGTGGAGGGAAATTTATAATTTTGTATAACTTAAGTACCATGCTTTCTGCAAGTTTAAAATTAAGTGCTTTTATAAATGCCAGACGAAGACTAGAATGCCCTTAATATGTAAAACCTGTGAAGAGCCTGGAACAGTTCACCTGTAGAATACAACTAAAGAAATCAAATGCTTCTAGATTGCAAAAGTTATTCACAAACTGAATTGCTTATACAAATCTTATAAACTTTATCAGCCTTTAGTTAGTACATTTTTTGATAAGTGGAATATGCTTTGCAACTGAGATTCTGCTAATAATGGTTTATAAGTTTATCAAGAAATATATTCCAACTGATCCAAAGAAGAAATTCAAATATTTTTAAATTTTCAATAAAGTAAGATATAGGTTATCAAAATAGCAGTAATCCTTTATCTTTTTGGAAACAGAATAAGAGATACCTATTTTTGAGGTACCTATTTTGAGGGGGAATAAAAAGCAAGCCAGTAATGAACTACCTTTAATGAAAGAGATCAGCTTATGATTAAATGGAAGATAGGAAAAAAGTTCATTTGCTTGTTGTGGGCATGAGTTTTAAGTTCCTTCCGTGTGCTGATAAGGAAACCATTTACAACCCAGGTAAGTGGATCAGTGGTTTCCAAATGTTTATAGTGTCTTCTATCAGAAAACATTTTTAATATACACTGCTGTTTTAAGTTATTGTATGAGTTTGCTAGGTGGCCGTAACAAAGTATCATGGACAGTTTGCTTAAAAAAACAGAAATCTGTTTTCTCAGTTCTGGGGCCTGGTAATCTGAGACCAAGTTGGTGGCTTTGCTTGCTCCTGAAGCCCCTTCTTGGCTTATAGATAGACCCCGTCTTGTGTCCCCATGTGGCCTTTCCTCTCCACTTGCCCGCCCTCCCCCACCCCCCCATTGTTTCTCAGTGTGTTCAATTTTCCTCTTTTTTTTTGAGACGGAGTTTCGCTCTCGTTACCCAGGCCGGAGTGCAATGGCGCGATCTCGGCTCACCGCAACCTCCGCCTCCTGGGTTCAGGCAATTCTCCTGCCTCAGCCTCCTGAGTAGCTGGGATTACAGGCGTGCACCACCATGCCCAGCTAATTTCTTGTATTTTTAGTAGAGACGGGGTTTCACCATGTTGACGAGGATGGTTTCGATCTCTTGACCTCGTGATCCACCCGCCTCGGCCTCCCAAAGTGATGGGATTACAGGCTTGAGCCACCGCGCCTAGCAATTTTCCTCTTTTTAATGACCTTTTATAACTTACTTCTTTAAAAGGCCCATCTCCAAATATAGTCCCATTCTGAGATTACTGGGGGATAAGGCCTCAGCATGAATTTTGGACAGATTTCAGCCCATAACAGTTAACATACTTGTTATTCTGCACTATGTACATTTTAAATACACTTCCCTAAAAAAATTTTTACAAGACTACCTAAAGCTTAATAAAAGTCAGTCATTATATTTACTTCCTAGACACAGTGCATTGTCTGCTGGAGTTTGTACATACTACATTGGAGCCCTGAATTTTAGTAAAATGAGAATCTCACCTGATGTTTAAGCCTCAAGAGTGCCTATAACTATGCTGTGTTCTCTAGCATTGATCACAGGTTTCCTGTTGTGTTGTTCTGCCATATAGTTTAAGGAGCTAAGGGCTCTCTTGATATCAGATTGTTTTACCACAAAGCCTGTACTTACCTTTTGACAACATAAACCTCTGTGAACATGAAGGGTTTTGACACGTTTTATATAAATATGAAATTTGTAAAACATAGCTAGTTTAGGAGTTGTTCCATGAATTACTCTGAAATACTCTTAGATCAACTGACCTTACAATAAAACTGCTATGTATGTAAAAATGTTCCCTGCCTACAGGTAAGTCCTTATTATTAAAGCTGCCTGGCTCTTTAATACTAACATTAAAAACCCAAAAAACAAACTAATGTAATTTATGGTATTTGTGTCAGCTCAGTGTCTTATGTCTGCAGTGGTTTACTGCAAGTCTGCTAACAGTTTTTATTCCTAAAAATGTAGAATTGTTCATTCTTCAGTAGCTATTTGGGGTGGGGTGGGGAGTAAAATCCATTAACATTCTGATGATATACAAATACTGATTCTAGATAGATTAAGAGGTTAAACATAAAATATCAAACTATGAAAAGGTAGGGGGAAAAACAGCAGTGGCTTCACTCTATGGGCAAAAATGTATAAGCCTGAAAGCAGTGAAATCAGTAACAAACTCAATTGACAATGCACAAAAATATTTAAAATACTTTCGCACTTAAAGTCAAATGATTACAAGAAAAATTGGGTATTTTAACATCTGACATGGTTATCACCTCAAATATAAGTAAAATGATACTAAGACATCTATAGATAAGTGGACATGAGCAGGTAACTCCCCAAAAAAGAAATAACTAGTAAGATTTGAAAACCTACCATAACTAAGGTATCGTTAGGCATTATAAGGAGATTATTAGAAACTCAGACAATTCATAAGCAAAGTTGTTTATTTAAAATCAGAAAATACATAGATGCTGAGTCCCAAAATTAGGTGGTAAAATGACCTCTTTCCAAGTATAACACATTGCCTTTCTCTAACAGAAATAAAGTATATGATTCTTACTACCTTCTTCAATTTTTTTAGTGAACGAGTGTAACTTTTTATTTAGAACTGTTTTTATGAAAGAAAAATATGAAAATGGTTAAGTAAAATCAAATAGCTCCAAAAGTCTTACTATGAAAACAGCAGTCCTACCAGTTCTTTCCAGAGGTAAGCTTTTCATTCTCTTAGTTTTTCCTTCTGGTAATTACCTTCACTTGGCTTTTCCAAATTATCATCTTTTTAGTTTTTCAAGTGAGTGCATATATTAATATATGTAATTTACAAAGGCCTCTTCAGTTTATAATGCATCCTAACAGTCCCCTGTCCCATCCCTCCTACTTCTCTAGAGCAATGACTTTTAACTCTTTTAACAATGTCTTCTATTTTTTTCTCACATAACTAGTCATTTCTTGAATATTTTGTACATTACATAGTGATTTCTTGATTTGACAGATGAGGATCTAGCTCTTACACCATTGCTATCTTCACTTTTACTCCCGTATTGTCCCACAGTGGTTACCAGATTTAGGGGCTAAGCAGTCACCACATCATTATGACTGTACGTATTGCTCATTGTTGAGAAAAAACTGTATTACGCTCTTACTTGCTATCCTTCTGCCCTAGAATTAATTATTGCCTAACCAACCATTCCCCCTTAGTCTTTTAACTTTTGCTTTATCTTCAGTGAGCTTCTTTTCAAATGCCCCAAATCTGGTAATATCCTATTATGAAGAGAAGGGATCTCACTATGGTGGCCAGGCTGGTCTGGAACTCTTGGGCTGCAGCCTTCCTCTTGCTTAGTTTCCTGAGTAGCTGGGATTACAGGCATGGGCCATTCCATCCAGCTAAACTATTAATGTTTTTTTTTTTTTTTTTTTTTTTTTTTTTTTTTTTTAAGCCAGCTCCATAGCTGGAATATTGCCTGTGTTAGATCCTATTTGCTGGATCCATGGCTTCTCTGGTTTGTGTACCCCTTCATTTTACGGTAGTATTTTCTCCACTAGCTTCCCAAGAAAGGGTACATGGAGGTAACTCCTGAGTCTTTGCTTGTCTAAAAATGTATTATTTTACCTTCACCCTTGATTATTTGGCTGAATATAGATTTATCACTTGAAAATAACTTTCTAGAATTCTCAAGGCACTGTCCCATTGTTTTGAGATTCTTTTTCTAGACAGGGTCTCTTCTGTCACCCACGCCGGAGTGCAGTGGCACAATCACAACTCACTGCAGCCTTGAACTTGAGGGCTCAATTGTTCCCTCCATCTCAGCCCCCCGAGTAGATGGGACTGCATGTGTGTGCCACAATGTCAAGCCAATTTTTGTATCTTTTTTAGAGATGGGGCTCCACCATGTTGCCCAAGCTGGTCTTAAGTGATCTGCCGAACTCAGCCCCCACAAAGTGCTGGGACCACAGGCCTGAGTCCCACACCTGGCCAGTTTTTCTTTTATTCTCTCTCTACTTTCTTCATTTCAGAGATGCCTCTGAGATCAAAGGCATCTCAAATTCAGTGGGCCCAAAACCAAAGTCAAACTCCATCAGAATATCCTGCTACTTCCAACTTTATCTTAAATAGGTTTCTTACTTCATGCAATCCTTTGGATTAAACTACCATCATCTCTCACTTGAACTTTGTTTTCCTCCTTCTGTAATTCTTAAAATTATAAAATATTTCAAACTAACCAGGTGTGGCTTTATACTTTTGACTACATAGAAAGAATGGAAGATCTGCCGGGTGCAGTGGTTTACATGCCTATAATCCCAGCACCTTGGGAGGCCGAGGTGGGCAGATCACCTGAGGTCAAGAGTTGGAGACCAGCCCGACCAACATGGCGAAACCCCGTCCCCACCAAAATACAAAATCAGCCAGGCTTGGTGGCAGTGCGCCTGTAGTCTCAGTCACCGAAGAGCCTAAGGCAGGAGAATCGCTCGAACTCGGGAAGGCAGAGGTTGCAGTGAGCAGATGTCGCGCCATTGCTCTATGCCTGGGCAACTAGAGAGAACTTTAAACATGACATTGCTTTGAGTGTTTGACATTCACTGTTGCCCTGTATTCCAGCAGCTTCTTACTGCAAACACCTGGGACTTGCAATAGAACAGCTGGAGTACCTTCTGCCCACACACAGGACAGGGAGCTGACCACCAAGGAGTCAGGGATCAATATTCCAGCTTTCTTCCCTTTGTTTCCCTGCTATCTCAGCAGCATGGAGCTTGTTACCAATGAGAACCTGCTCACTGACTTTCTGCCCTAGAATTAATGATTGCCTAACCAACCCTTTAAACTGGTTTTCTTACCGTCTCAGTTTCATTTAGCAATACCTCAGTTGATGATTTCTGGTTTGACCTAGCAAATAAACTACTTTCACTGAAATTTCAGTCTTGGAATCTGCTTTGGGTTCCCCAATCTAAGACAGAAAAATACTCATTTTCCCATCACTGGACTTCCAGGTTGTTTTCAATTTTTCACTGTTACAAACAAGACTGCCACATTTGTCTATAAACCTCTGGATATACATGTAGGAAGTTTTTGATATTTCCCGCTAGTGAAACTGCTCAGTTGAAGGGTATGCTCATCTTCAATAAATACTACCAACATTTGAAAAGCCCGACAATGTCAAGGACTGGCAAGAGTGCCACATGTGATGGGTGTGGAATGGCAGCTCACTGTAGCAGGTGCTGGCAACTCAGTCAGGGTCTTGGAGAGGGACTTAGTTACAGAAAGAATGTTTCATAAATGGTATCTGATATATTCAAGATTAGTGGTAAAAAAAAAAATGTTGCTTAGAAATAATTATCCATGGACTTAAAGTCAACAAACTTTTTTTTTAAATAAAGGTGGAGTTTCACCATGATGGCCAGGCTGGGCTTGAACTCCTGACCTCAGGAGATCCACCAACCTCGGCCTCCCAAAATGCTAGGATTACAGGCGTGAGCCACAGCGCCCAGCCAAAAATGCGTACTTTTTTCAGAGGGAGGGGGAACAACTAAACTGGAAAAGACTTTCATATTAATCATTCTTCTCATATACTTCAAACTTGTACTTAATGCCTTTCTCCTCCTGGACATCAGAGAGAACACCTGGGTATTCTGGCAGAAGTCTGTATTTCTCCAAATAAATTTCCGGAAAAAACGTGTCACTTTCAAAGTCCTGCATGATTCTTGTCACAAATAGTTTAAGGTGGCCTGGGTGACTCATGGCTTCCTTATAAACAGAACTGCCACCAATTATCCAAATCATATCTACTTTATTTGCTAATTCCGGTTGTTCAGTAAGGTTTAATGCATCATCCAGACTTCTGGCAAGAAAATGAGCTCCTTGTGGAGGTTCCTTGAGTTCTCTGCTGAGAACCAAATTAATTCTATCCTTTAAAGGTCGATTCTTCTCAGGAATGGAGAACCAGGTCTTTCTACCCATAATCACCAGATTCTGTTTACCTTCTATTGAAGAAGTTGTAGTCATTCTCTGGAAATACCTGAATTCATTTCTGAGTGGCGGCCAGGGCAGGTCCCCCTTCTTGCCGATACCCATGTTCTGGGACACAGCGACGATGCAGTTTAGCAAACGAACCATGATGGCAATGAGCACCTCCGAGCCCGCTCACTAGGTAGCCAAGAATGGCGTGAAACTCCCTTCTTCAAATTCTTTTACATGTCCACATTGCAAATATAATACGAGTGTATTAATTCATTAACTGCAACATTCTGGAATAAGCATAGAAAAATAAATTACATAAGATATATAAATGTATATGTATAAACCATAAATTTGTAAAATTATAAAAAATACAGAGGCTGAAAAGTAGACTGACTTTTCCACAAACATGAAACAGACAGCACCCAAGAGATGGCATCATTTCACTCCTGAATACCTTACAGTCTTTTGTACCAAGTCTAAATTCTAATAACGTGCATTTTTAGGTGACTTGGAAACTTTAAATAAATATTTTAAGCTTCAAATCAGATTAGTGAGAAAGACATGTTTTTACCTGAATATAAGACTTGTACCTACAGCACGTACTTATACTGATACGAACATCAAGGGGCATCAAAAGTTGATGTTTATTAAATATCAGCAGCCATATCAAACTAATTTTTTCTAATTGCTGATTGTTGCTACAAATGAGTGTGTGCTTGAAGCCTAACATGAAAACACTAAATAAACTGCTATTCCTATCAAAATAGGCGTAATAAACACCTTCCTTCCAGAACCATTAAACGTTGCTCCTTGTTAAAGGTGGGGGAGGCTAGAGTGCAGGGTCCTTTTTGTCTTCACGCATTTGGTGTCAACGCGATAAAAATCACAATGAGCGTAACAGTGAAAATAACAGCAGCAGCTAACATTTGTTAACCATTTCCGAATCACTGTTGTAACCGCTTTACATGTGTATTCAGTTTAATCATTTAACACTCCCCATTCCAAGAAGGAGACTATCCTCAGGGGCCAGGTTTGGGGAAAAGCATGACACCGTTTTATCCTTGGGTACTGGTACTGAACGTCTAGGCGAACGGGGGTCATTCGATTTGGTAGATTAGATCCTAACTAGTTTCGCTTTGAGAATAGTTTAAAGCAGTCATCACACAACACATGGCCGGACGTGGTGGCTCACGGCTGTAATCCAAGCACTCTGGAGGCCAAAGCGGGCGGATCACCTGAGGTCGGGAGTTCAAGACCTGAGGTCGGAGTTCAAGACCAACATGGTGAAACCCCGTCTTTATTTAAAATAATAATAAGCCCCAAACGCATTCTTTCACTGAGCCCATGCACACATAGGCCGTTCAGCACGATCTGTGACCATGTTTGTATTTATTTTGAGACGCGGCCTCGCTGTCGCCCAGGCGGCAGGACAGCGGCGCGACCACGGCTCACGGCCACCTCAAAGCCCTGCTCAAGCAATCCTCCCACCTCAGCATCCGCAGAAGCCGGGGCCACGGGCGCGCGCGGGCGCGTGACTTTCCAAGGTCCGGACGCCCAGAGCTCCGCCCAGCCAGCCAAGCAGCGAAAGTCGCCGTCGCCCCGGCCGCGGCCTCCGCGTCCCAGGAGGTATCCGCCTTTACCAGCTACCGGAAGTCACCGCTCGTGAACCCTCCGCGGGACCGGAAGTCACCGCTGGTGAATCTCCCGCGGGACCGGAGCCTCTTAGACGAGATTTCTGCCGCGCGGGCAAATCAGGATCTCGCGATAACTCGAAGAGGAAATGTGAGCGTGAAAGCGGATGCCTGCGGAAGTCGGGCTGTTCTTTCAGTTCCCTGGAGGCTCTTGGATGCCGGTTCGCGTACACCTCTTGTTTGAACGTTCTCAGCGGGAACATGCTGACCCCGGTGAGGCCTGGGGCCCGGCCGGGTGCCTCTCTAATGAGACGCTTCTGTCGGCCGCCGAGGCGGCGAGGGAGGGTGCTGGGCTGGGGGAGCGCGGCCTGCGCTCGCCGCCTCGCGGTGTCAGCGTTTCTTTGGCGTCCCTGTGGCGCCCTGGAATCATGCTGAGTGCGGTCATGCCGAGCCCCTCCGCCCAGCTCGCGGACTCCCGCGCCCGCTGCCTCCGGCTCCTGGGAGGCTGGGGTGGGTTTCCGTGTCGGAGCTTAGAACGGTGTCTGTTACGTAGTAGGCACTGAATACGCTTTTCCTGGATGAGTCCGTCTGACAGCGGCGAGGAATTTTCACAAGGAACCTGGAGTGATTTTGTTTCCCCCTAAATTAACTTTTCACTTTGAAATTTAGATTTACAGAAGAGTTGCAAAGATAGTACGGAGTTCGCAGATACCTTTCACCAAGTTTTCTTGATGTCGGCATCTACGGTGACTTTTTAGTTTTGACTGGAGTTAGTACAGCTATTCCAGGTTGATTCTTTTAATTTTTTAATTTTTAATTTTTGTTGGTACACAGAAGGTACAGATTTTAATGAGGTAAATAAGATATTTTGATACAGACATGCAAAACATAATACATCATGGAGAATGGGGTATCCAGTCCCTCAAGCGTTTACCCTTTGTGTTAATCCAGTTGCACTTACTTTAAAATGTACTATTAAGTTATTGTTGACGACTCATTCCGTTGTGCTATTAAATAGATTTTACTCATTCTATTTTTTTGCCCATTAACCATCCCCACCTTCATCCCACCCCTCCTGTAACCTTCCCAATCCGACAAATAGTTAAGAACATGCAATATTTGTCTCTGTGTCTGGCCTATTTCACTTAACATAATTTTCATTTCCAGCTATGCTAGAAATGAAAATTTTTAGTTTTGTTTAGAGACAAGGTCTTGCTCTGTCACTCAAGCTGGAATGCAGCAGCTGGGCGTAGCTCACTGCAACCTTGAACTCCTGGGCTTCAGCGATCCTCCAGCCTCAGCCTTGCTAGTAGCTAGGACTCCAGGAGCGGGCCACCACGCCTGGCTAATTTTTTTTTTTTTTTTTTTTTTTTTCCTTTTGTAGAGACAGGGCCTTGGTATGTTTCCCAGTCCGGTCTTGAACAGGGAAATAATCCACTCACCTCTTCCCCGCAAAATCACGGCTGACTGTAACCTCCACCTTCCGAGTTCAAGCGATTCTCCCACCTCAGCCTCCTGAGTAGCTGGGGTTACAAGCACCTGCCACCACTCCCGGCTAATTTCTGTATTTTTAGTAGAGATGGCGGTTTCCCATGTTGGCCAGGCTGGCCTTGAACTCCTGACCTCATGTGATTTTCCCACCTCTGCATCCCAAAGTGCTGGGATTACAGGCGTGAGCCACCAGCCCGGCCCCTACAGTGACTTTTTACAATTAATTTGTTCCTTTTGACAGTTTACTCAGCCCCTGTAGATTCTCTTTTAGCCTCTGCTTCACATTTGGAAAATAATTATTTGGAAAAAGCTTGCTTTTTCGTAAGTAGGTAATGTAGTACAATTTTGGTACTTGTAAGGTATTGCTCCCATTTCAAGAACTAGTAATTGTCCCAAAAAAGTGTTCTTGTCTTGAAAAAAAAAAAAAAAACTTGCTAATGTTGAAGTTCAATAAATTTGTAATAATATCGGTGTGCGTCAGCAACCTTTTCTTATCGTCATAGCTGAAAGCAAAATCAGAAGGGAAGCTTGCAAAACAGATTTGCAAAGTTGTGTTGGATCATTTTGAAAAACAGTATTCTAAAGAACTCGGAGATACCTGGAATACAGTAAGGTTAGTATAATTCCTCTTGATGCTTTATGATGGAACAAAGTACAGCATATAGTCCTCCGTTTTGTGGGAGGGATGCCGTGAGGATAAAACGCAAAGGAGTCTAAACCTGGGTGTCCTTTCCTACTAAGGTTATAGAAAGGAACAACTTAGAGGAAGTAGACTGAATCATAGCGTAATGGAAAGGGGAGAAAGAAAACTTCACAGATTGCTATCCCTTTGCTTTGAGTAGTTGCTTTTATCCTTGAAATAGGAATGCCCACTAGTTTGACAAAATTAATTATACTGGAAAAGAAAATCATAAAAGTTGGAATATTTGGTTTCTGAAATTTAGAAGATAATACAACAAATCTTTAAAGCCAGCACTGCCTTATCTGAGTCAAAGGTACACTGCATTGAGTAATCATATTTCTTTCCTATGCCTATGGCTGGGTATATTTTAAACACATGCATATACACACAAAATTATTTATGCTGTAAAAACAAGAAATGCTTAATGCATGGAAGTAGGAGAAACGTGATTTGTATGTTTGGTAAGCTGCTGTTGATGTGTGGATCACTGGTTCTTGACTCAGTGCCTCATACATTGTATCATGCTCTCTGGAATACAAAGAGCAAGACAGCCCACATGTCCAGTTTACATACAGTCTAGTTAGTGTTTATGAGGGAGGTGGGGAGATGGGTGTGGTTACAACTATATAAACTAAACCAGTTTGTAAATCCTGTGATCAAAATACCTAACAAAGCCCGAGGGTGCCAGCCAAGGCCTGAAGGGGAGCTGGGTCTTGGTGACTAACAGAAGTTACTTTGACAAAAAGAAATAGCCCTTCTAGGTTGAGGGGACAAGATGCACTGTTCATGAAGTTAGGGCAAAAGCCCACTACATTTTGTATGAGGAGAAAAAGTTACATGGCTACAGATAAATCTGTAACTGAGTCCAGACTGATTTTTCAGATGGTTGGCTTATCCATTTTCTTCTTCGATCAGCTGTAAGCATTTCTCCTTTACCAATGGCAGCTCTAAACATTTTTGAAAACAAAGACATTAAGTTTTGGCTAATAAAGATCACAAAGGCTGAGGTGATTCTCAGATAATTTTAGGACAATTAAGCTGTTTTAGAAATTGGTAAATGCTATAATGTGCAAGCCATTTATATTTGTGGGTTTTATTTCAAAAGTAGATTTTCAAATGGATATTTTCTGTCACAGAGATGAAAAACAGAAGTATATAATAAATTCATGAAGTTTTCAGTATACAAAGGTCATCAAATAGAATATTCAAATAACTGAACGCTTATTACGTGCTTACTATATGCCAGACATGCTGACTTACATGATTCTCAGAGCAAACCTGTAAGAGTTTCAGTAACTTGCCAAAGTTCACTCAGCTCGTAAGTGGCGGAGCTGAGACTTGAGCCTAGCTTGGCTGACTCAAGAACTCCCACCGCTCATCCTTTTTCTATACTGTCTCATATCTGGGATATGATTTAAAAAAAAAAAAAAGGACAAGATTTTAAGAGGTATTTTTCTCCTATTAACTTTATAGCAGTCTGGCTACTCATTTTCTGTAATGACTTATTTTTCTACTTGGTGTACTCCGAAAGTCATATAGCATTACTTGACCCTAAACAAAATGAGCAGGGAACCTCAAAGCTGTTTAATTAGCTGTACCTTCTGCTTCATCTATTATATTACTGGGTTTTTGTTGTAATTTAAGTTTTACCTAAACGTGCATTAAATTTGCCATTGGCAAAATAAAGGCTTCTCAGCTTAGGAAGTAATCTGAGTGTAGAAGATGGTATGGGGAAATAAGAACAGAATTAAATATTTTGTTTTTTAACTGCTTATTTGTAAGGTATCATGTACTTGTAGAGTCTACTTCCAGGGAAAGTTAAGGGCTTTTTTTTTTTTTTGGCCTATTTACAAAGTAATTTATTCAATATTTTTAGTTTCCTGTAGTAGTGGAGAAGATTCAGTATTTATTTATTTATTTATTTGAGACGGAGTTTCGCTCTTGTTACCCAGGCTGGAGTGCAATGGCGCAGTCTCTGCTTACCGCAACCTCTGCCTCCTGGGTTCAGGCAATTCTCCTGCCTCAGCCTCCTGAGTAGCTGACCAGGATGGTCTCGATCTCTTGACCTCGTGATCCACCTGCCTGTGCCTCCCAAAGTGTTGGGATTACAGGCTTCAGTCACTGCGCCCGGCCAAGATTCAGAGTTTAAATTTAGTCTTTTGTAATAACCTTTCTCGTCTAGTTATCCTCTGAGTAGCCTTTAAAACTGGAGTTTACCCTGGTTCAAATTTTGCTCTATTGTTACCTCCATGTTCTCCTCAGGTAAGCTAATTTATGGGATGACTCTTAATCGGTATGCTGTCATCTCAAGCTGTGAGGTTCTTCCCAAGATACAGTCCCATACTTCTGTTTTTTAGCAACTTCAGTTACTTGGCAGACTCAGCAAACTCAGAAGTGTGTTATTAGTTTTCCCTTCTAAACCTCTGTTGCCTTTGCTCCCTGTTGTAGTTTACCTCAATTAGTGTATCCTCATCAGTCTGGTTCCTTCCTTCTCTATACTTTCACTACCTTTGTAGTAAAGAATGAACCTTATTCAAAAATACTTCTGGCATTTTTTGTCCTCAGTTCCTGGGAGGTGATCTTTAAGCTCTTGGAATGTCCTTCCTGATAAGTGTGTCTTTGTTTACCTGGGTGTTTAGATCACAGATGATAATCTAATGATGTGATTTGTGTTGAGGGCTGTGGACCACAGGTGTTAACCTCCAGAAAGGCTTGTGACTAAAAGCTATATGGTCAGTCAGTCATATGTACATGACCAAGACTCAATAACAAGTGGATACCAAGTCTCTGGGAGTGTCCCTGGTTGGGAGTACTCCTGTGCAAACTGTCATACACTACTGCCAGTAAAAGTTA